GGCATTTAACGTTTTATGTAAAACTGGCTAGGTATTTTTACACAAATGAAGAAGGAAATTAAAGATAAAGGATTATACTATATCCGTATTGTAGTACATTTTTAGACAACTTCTTTATTTTTAAGATTTTGATGGTCAAACATAAAGAAAATATCCCTTATGTTTGGACTAAATTTTCTCGAAAATATAGACATAATTTAAAATTCCGTTACAATACGGAAATAGATTGAGGTTTTGTGATTACAGTGATATATAATTTATATAGTTTTGTAATAAATTGCTCGCTATTTTATGGCAGATGCTGAAGCTCTATTCTATAGATATTCCCTTTGGCCACATATCCCCATATTCCCTTTGGCCACTTTTCGTAACGAGAGTACGTTATCGCAAGACAAGTTGAGCCGAACTCCTCTTTATATTGAGCGTTGGGCGGGTTGGTTAGCATAGTTATTTGGAGGATGTTAATTCACTGGTTAGAGTCATAGGTAATTATATGATTAATTATTTCTTTAGTATTTTCTTATCATATTACATCAGCGTACACAAATAATGTGAAAACAAAATAGAAAACTTTGCCGCAACCCATATACGAGTATTATATCGAGGGTTTAGGAATGTATGACAAATGCTATAAAGCACGCTCGATATAAAATCAATGTTCGCATTATTTCGGGTAGTTTCGGCTCAACATGTCTTGGGATAGCATACGCTCGTTACGAAAATGCACCCCGGAGAGCGACCCGAACAGTACAGCGTAATAGACTCTTAAAACTAAAGCGTTTTGGAATTATTATTAACCTTCTGACAAATAATACAGGGTTAGTCTTAAATAATTGTAAATATTTTAGGGCATAGTATATTTCGACCCCAGAAACACGCCTATGAGTTTTTTTTTGCAATTTTTTTTTGGAAAATTTTGGAATTTTTCGAAAAAGATTTGGATTTTTTAAAATTTTTGATTAAGAAACATAATATGTTGATAATATGTCGCAATAGAGGTAGTAAATTAAATTTACAAAAATGAAAGCCGATAAAAGATTCGGTGGTTCTCAAGGTTTTGAAGGTTTGACTTTTCGTCCATTTGAAATCTTTTTGTGCTAAAAGTTGAACAGAATAAACAGTTTCTGTTGAACTTGTTGAACCAAATCATCATTTTTTCGCAGAAAAATTTATGATTAATTTAAAAAAATTAAAATTTATTATTTCAGTCAAATAACTATAATACTCAAAACGTGTGCTTATTTTTTGTCAATAATGACATGTATTGATTATTTCCATTCTAAATATCTTCAGAAGGGTTGCTCGTAGCGATTTTTACCAAGAGACATTTTTTATGTAAAAAGTCATGGAAATGTATATTTATTTTTTCAGCCAGTAGTTTTATACAGGTACGGACGAAAAGTTATTACTCTCCAAAACAGTTAAAACCTTTGAATAAGAAGACTAAGGAAGGAGCATAATGCTATCCATGTATTCATGCATGGTGGGCGGAAAAAGGACTCTAGGGTGGGGATCCTTGACAGTTCTGTTTGACGATTCATTTGACACATTTGAATTTGATTTGAAATTTTGCGGATTTGTCAGTCTTTACGGAGCTTATTTTATGTTATTTATTATTTATTCTACTACTGATAGGTGTATAAAGGTAGTAAATCTAGATGGAAATTGTGGCAGAACTTAAATTAACAGTGACACTATCGCAATTTATCGAAAAATACTTTAAAATAGTTGGTTGTGTAGCGTGCGGTAAATCTCGGCAAAAATTGAGTGAAATAATGGAACAACTTTTCGCTAGTACGTGACTATGTAATATACATACGTGTAGTAAACCGATCATTTATGAAATTCACTTAAATTAACTAATTATATATTTTTTCTTGCATTTTTGCTTTTATTTACTACTTGTCAAAGATTAGATGTCAAAGAATTTAGATACGTCAATTTGACATCTATGAATTTGACTTACCTCCTTCAGTAGCGTATCGGATGTTTGTGTTAATAAATAATTATTAAAACTTATCTATTTTTATTATAATAATATGTTTTTATAACAATTTTAATAACTACCAACATTTATTCACAACGTAAAATAAAAAAAAAATATTGAGTCTACCCCACGTCTACCCTACATCATAGTTTGACATTTTTTAAATAAAATTAGAACGGCACTGGTAAATCGGAATTTAAGTCGGCCATATTTGAGTCCCATGGCGGTGGACCTAAGATTTTTGATATGCTCCTTCCTTAGTCTTCTTATTCAAAGGTTAAAACACATGTAGGTGGCTCCCCCTACAAATAGGAGTCATTTTGACATTAAAATCAAATTTCTCGTGTCACAAAACTCCCAGACACCAATTTTCATCCAAATATTTACGTTACTTCAGAAATTATTTGGAAAAAATCGAAATAAAAATGAAACTTCTACACCCTGTATCTCCGAAACTAACCATTTAGGACATACATTACGAACTTTTTTACTTATTTTTATCTGCAGAATATGCAGTCGAAATTTCCGGAATACAGTTCGGACCACCCTGTATGTTGGGTCTAAACACGTCAACAATTTTATACAAGTCTATGTAAAGGGGACACACTTATGAACTGCAATATTGTCGATGCCTATTCCAAATGATGCGTCCAAAGTTAGAAGCATAGTGTAGGACTATGTGTAGGACCGACTTAAGCAGGGAGTGGTATTCGAATTCCGCGTAAACAAAGTATAGTGTGACCAACGGATCTGTAGCTACGGGGTATCGGTAGGGGAACGCTGTTGTAAACAAAACACGCCCAATTTCATTCATAAAATAGGCATGGGCGTACGGTGTTATATGAAAATAATGTGTATCATAAATATAATACTCAGATTAATAATTTTTTTCAAAAAACTTTATGCTGTTTGAATCGTTACTGTTGAGTTAGCAGATAAACACTAAAAGCTTTTATTAAAGCTCCCTTAAATATTTTGAATCATTTTATTATTGTGTTGTTAATATAATAGAAGAAATAATTACAGCTGGGGATTGGAACCTTTGGTGTTACACAGCAAAATAAAACACTAAATCAGTACAATACACCAAAACACTTTTAATTTTACACTGGACGCACGTTTCGCTAACCATGTCTGCCATCACCAGATGATCAAGACTGAGTCTTGAGGTATATTTATTTATATCGGTACTAACTATATTTTTTTCTATAATACATAATTTTAGATATAACTATTTCCAGCAAAAAAAAAATCTTGAAAATAGTTAACTTTGGAAGCGCAAACAAAACATAATTTTACTCACCAGTAGATCCAATATTGCCTATTACACCAGATATGGTATCGCTCCGCCAGCAGTTTTTAAAGGTTAGGTCATTGTCTACCCATATGTTACATCCAAATAGATAATACTTGGCTATATTTTCGAATTTCGCGTATATATATTTATATCTCTCTCTGCAATATAATGGGCCGCTCCATTAATATTTATCTGTTATTTTAACATTTACGCCAAAAAAATTCATTTGATTTTAATAACCCCCTAAGCGTTTCCCTGCAAAAGGAAAATTCGATTCTTCCTGCAATTTTTGCAAAAGCTTTCTAATTGTGGGGACGAGTTTGAATTCGAGATAAAATCTATTTATCAAATTCCTGACCACTTCGAAAAAGTCGTTGAGCTTTTCGACAGCAGTCTCACGTGGTCGTTTCTTTCCAGAGAGGATATCATTTTATCGGGGTTAGTTTTCAGCCTTTTTTTTATCTTCTGTGTGAATTTTTTTATAGCCGATACGCTAACTCCGGTATAAAGAAATATCCGCTCAAGTTTACGTTTAAGCGGCAACTCAAGCGAACTCTCTGTAGCTTCTTCATCGCAAACCCTATTATGAACACAAGGAAATACACCAAATGAGATTTCATCCACGTTATTATTAACTTACCTATATAAATTAGCTATTATTTCTCTTGTCTGACTATGTAGCGTCTTACCCTTAACAAATTTATTCGTTTTAAAACACAAATATACGATCAAACTTGATATTAATAATTAAAAACTACGAACGAAAAACATTATAACAAGATAACAAAACAATAAAACACAACTTAACTATCAAATATACTAAAAATATAGGAATAAAGTTTAGGATAACCGGTATAAAATAATGAAATAAAGTAATAATGATCAAAAAAATGACACCGCCACTGGATATTTCAATAGTATTCAATATTCCTACTCTTTTCAGAAGAGACCGTGAAGTTGGGGATAAAGCAAGCGAATAGGAAAGGCGTAAAAGCCATGGCAACCGCGTGGTAACAAATCCTGTGACGTACTCGCCAATCATGTTCGATGAATAGGCGGCCATGCGCGGCGATGCCGGTTTTGCCAATGATATCGTTGAAAATCTTCAACTTTCATAATAGGCAGATTATACAGAATGAAAGAAATAAGTTATTAAATAAAACATATCGAACAATATGAACTACGTTAAAATTCCTTAGTAATATACGTCAGAATATATGCTAAACACATTATATATAATAAAAATATATTAAATTTATAGTTCATGTCTGGCAATTTTGCAATTTTATAGATAAACGTGGCAATATCGATTTTTTTTTCTCGCATTCCTTCCGTAGCTACAGATCTGCTGGTCAAACAGTAGGTCCCGTCCAGATTAGCCTTAAGCCTTCAGCAAAAAGGAGTCGTTAACTCAACATTCACTTTAGTTTTAACGACCACCGTTGCTCTATGTGATTTAATGACCGAACGTTACCTCTGGTATAGTTACGGCATTCTAACTAATCAATCGGATAGACGACGGCCAACAAAAATGGCCTGTCGTTCGACATTTTTCGAATAATATCGATCCGCCTGGTTTTTCTTCCTTTTATGTGGCAGTAGGTGGACCTTAAGCTGGCTAATGCGACCGTTTTTGTCTCTAAATTGTTGCCATGTCGATTTTTTCCCTTCGAGCATTTAGAATTCTGTAAATTCTCATTTTTTCTTTTTTTTCAGGGTTGATTTCGTGTTCGCCCAGTCCATGTAAAAATGGAGGGACATGTATATCATCGCCGACGCTGAAAGGAGAAAGTTTTTGCAAGTAAGTGACAATTAGTGTTTTTTTTTGGTTTTCAATTAGTTGAAGTTTTTTTAAGTAGGTATAGAAAAACCAACAAAAGTTGGCCTGTACAGCTACTTTTTTACTTTGGCTATGTGTCAAACAAAATTAGTAATTTTGTCATGGATTTCTGACTACAATTTTAGAGTTTATAATCATCTGCTGATGATGCTAACATGGTTAGCGAAACGCGCGTCCAGTGTAAAAGTAAAAGTGTTTTGGTGTATTGTGGTGATTTAGTGTTTTTATTTTGCTGTGTAACACCAAAGGTTCCAACCCTCAACTGTAATCTACAATTTTAGACACAATACACATACAAATGTTTTTGAAGTAAAACTTCTTTACGCGCGATGGGAGTAAAAATTGTAGGCCGTGACACACGAGACGCGAAAGGAAAAGTGGTAACGATAGGGCCCTTGGGCCCTACGTGACCTATCGAGCTGAAACCGGCACCCACGAAATAACAAGGCCATCTTGCTGTGACGTAAAAATCTCGTGACGTCATCAACTGGAGATGTAACTCTATTTAGCAGCGTTGATAATTACCGTAGGTGCCGCTGAAACTCGAAATTTAACGATCTTTTCATGATATGTTGACGACGTTTCGTGCACTACGAAACCCCATCATCAATGAATCAAATCCAAAAATCATCCGATTTAAATGAAATTTGGTATGTCGATCGATTGGACCAAACCCAGGCGAACTTGACCGTGTACGACACGTGTTACTGTGACAGTTTTGACGTATGAAACGTCAAAAGTTGATGTCGTCCGATCGCGACCAAATTTGATGGGTAGACTATGTGAACGACGATACACGCGGGCACACCCTGCAAAGTTGGATACGATGAAGAAAAATGTGGGTCGATTTCGGCATAATTGGCGACGGGCTACAGGATGACGCCTTCAACGTTTCGAACCGATGCGCGATGCCTCTAAATGGACGAAATCATCAGGATTTTTCTTAATTATGGGTCTTTTGGAACCAAACTCGGCGCATGGATAGAGGTACTCGAATGGAATCCACAGACGGACAGACGGTCATTTTAATAAAAAATTTGTGAAAATGAGACAAATTATTTATTCATTTTTAATTTATTACTTTTTCAACATTTTAAGCTACACTTTTTCAAACGTGTCCTTGATATCCTTCAATTTAATAGCTGTTAGTAAGAAGTTTTATCAAGAAGATTTTTTTTATACCTGCATTATTACTTTGTCTATGATTATTACACAAACAAATTCTCATTAAATGAAGTTATTAGCAAGGTTTTCGAATGAAAAAATAGCCGTGCTAAATGTCATTTAAAATATTTCCACTTATTTATATTCTCCAGACATTTACACTCACCGTTTCCTCTGCCTCTCTCTGTTGGACACGCTATTTTTACTAGACAATGTTGATTAATTTTATATTTTTCTTCTAATAATTATAAAATACGTTCCTGTCGTCGCACGGCCAACTGCACCAGGGAGAAAAGCGAACGATAGGCGTGTCTCGAGATCTGCGGAGACCAGATAATAGATAAACCCCATCGTTTTTCGGCCCACACTGTTACAAACGAGTTGCATATGACCTGGGGCGAACCAGGGGCGTACTACCTACTTCTTATTTTTTCCAAAAATCGTTAAAATTGTCGTATTTCTATTGTTATATTTTTTACGTTATGTTATTATGAATTATTAATACAGAAATAAATCAATATGCACTCAGATGCAAAAAAAACGCGACGGAGAATTTTTTCGTCAAGTTTAAAATGTTATATTTTTTTACTTTTAGTCCCACATTTATGATTTTTTTTAGCAAACTGTATATAAATCTATTAACTTTAATTTATGAACTCAGTTTCTTATAAACTTTAGTATTTAGCTTATTATACAGGGTAAATTGAAGAGTTGTTTTTTACCTTAACTTTAAAACACCATGTGCAATAATTTCGTGAGTAACTTTTCCTAAAACATTATTTTTCGATCAGAGCCATGTCTCCTAAGCATTTTCTTTTTTGACTCATGTCAATACATGCCTTGGTTAATTTTTAAGAGCGAAATGAACTTGCCTCCAACAATTTTTGTGGTGGTTTTCGAGGTGGTTTTGGTGACTATTGTCGTAATGTCATATCGACACTGATTAGAACTTTATATATTCAAATCAATTCAAATTTAAAAAAAACATTAAAAAGTAACGATACAGGCTTGGTTTTAATAAACATTAATAACACTAACAGAACTAAGGATATTAAAAAATAACTGTAATAATTAAGTGTACAAACAAAAAACTTGTCTGTAGACGTCGGTTCACACTGTTAATGAGGCTGCAAATATATTGTGTTATGGTTTCCACCTCGTCATTATGAAGAATAACATCAAAAAGTAATTTAAAAAACTTGCAAAATGTTTGTGGCAACTCATTTTGCCAGATATGGTTCTACTACCGAAAAATAATGTTTTAGGAAAATCTGCTCACGAAATTATTGCACAGGGTGTTTTAAAGATAGGGTAAAAAACAACTCTTTGATTAACCCTGTATAATAAGTCAAATATTAAAGTTTATAATAAGCTGAGTTTACGAATTAAAGTTTATATATTTATATACAGTTTGCTAGAAAAATCAAGGAAATAGGGCTAAAAGTAACAGAAATATAACATTTTAAACTAGACCAAAAATTTTTCCGTTGTGTTTTTTTGGTTTTAACGAAAAAATCTTCAGAATTTAATGAAATGAAATTATTATATACGATCTTCGTTAATAAACTTTTTGATAAAAAGTGGTAAACTAGCATTTTTCTGTTTACATTTGGTTTGTATATATTGGATACCTTCACTTTGTATAGAAAGGTTTGTCTATTTTTATTATTTGCCTGAGGCTGCAAATTGATGCCCGCGGCTGAAAAAATTACAGAAAATAGATAATTTTCTATTCTCCTATAAAGGCTAATAATAAAACGAAAGACATAAACTAGAGATATATAAACTTAAATTACAATTCAGAGTTTACGGCGCAATCCTCCTAGCGTAACAAAATAGATATTTTTCTTTCCTCTTTAGAACTCATAACCTCCGGTCATTATTACCAGCGCTTCAGTAACAGTCTTGGAAGTATTTTCGACCCGCAGGAATATAATAATTAACAGTTATAACGTAGGTAATAAATCTAGCGAAAGCCTAGTTTGCGGATGATGGTATACCGTAGAGGTATTATACTACCGAGAATTTCGGTGATTTAATCATCAGGTTCCGAAAAAAGGTGGATTTTAATGGGTCTTGTCCGTTTTGCTTTTTATACAATACCTACTCATACGTAAGAAAAAAAAATGAATTAGTTGAAATAGAATCAATATAAACCGATATCCAAACAATGATAATATTGCATTTTTGTGTTTGATGCTATCTTGAAAATTAAATACCAGTAATAAGATACTGTAATTAAAATAACATATTGCAACTATTTCTAATCAATAAAAGATTATCTCAGAGAGATCAGTAAACCTAGAGCAGCTCTAAAATATTGGTTGATATAATCGTCAGGATCGTTCTGAGACATAATGTCTTTCTAAATTTCTACACTTAGAGAAATATCAAGAAATAAATTCAGAAAAGCCCCAAAAATCTGCAAAAATTCATTTGTACCAAGTGAAATGTCAAACAATAGGAATATAAAACTATTAAGAAGTATTAGACTCCTTCTTTAGTCTTTTTATATAATGCAAAAATTTGACATTGACAGACGACAACTGTCACTGTCAGAATTCTTGTTATTTGACATGTAGTTAAGCAGGGTGTACTGTATTATGTAAGGGTGTATTCCGTTGCTGACCTTGGTTATGATTTTATGTTCCGTTTCTATCGGTTTCCTGAAAGTTTTCTTATTACGGAACACGGTTCCTGAAAAATTCGGTAATAACTGTCACTAAACTAACCAGCGCGAGAAAGCTGGTTTTTCTAGTTTTGTTTGTCAATCAGTGTCATTTATATGACAGAAATCGAGCAAATATTGGAAGTTCGAGTGAAATTCTCATGTAATTTCTAAAATTTGTAATAATATTTCGTATTTACATCCAAAAGCAATGCAATGGAGATAGGCAGTAAAGATAAATACATTTCATTAACTAAATAGAATGACTTTTTAGGACCATTTAAACTTATCATGCAGCAATTGTTGTGCAGCACAATGCAGCAAAAGTAATCGTGAATGTTTTGTAAGCTATAAAAATATAAATATTGGTTAGATTTGTTTATTTATTATTGATCTGTTTTAATATTGGACCTGCAAACTACACTTGAGCTGTCTAACGAGTTTAACAGTTTATTAATAAAGTACTTTTCAATATTAAACTCCATTGAAAAGAAGAATCAAACGTAAAAGCAGAGTATAGGTACGTTAAAAATGCATAAAAGATAAATTTTATAATAGAGGTATTGAAATTTAGAAAACGTCAACATTTGACGTTTCCAGTATTTTACCAAACCGTTCCGTATCAAACCGATGTTTTTCAGGAACCGCTCTTTACTGTAGTTTACCGGTCTGGTTCGCCTGGTTTTGCAACGGAATACAGCCTAAATTAGAGTAAAATTAACATTGGAATCAGCGATAATACCTACCTACATAATAACGAAATTTTATTAACGATTCAAAACATAGCTTCGTTCTTTGTGAAGCTCGAATGTTACTTATTTATGAATACTAAAGTGAGCGTATCGATGGGCGACGCCTCTGCCGCTGCTAAACGCCCAACTCACAACAACGTCACGATCAAAATCCTTTGATTTACATTCCGAATAATCCCCCAACTTACAATCGGCTTAGAAGGACCATAAAAACCGATCTTACCGGTCGCGATGGATGCATCCTGAGGCGTTTGGTCTCCGTAGAGCTGCGTTCCAGTATCCTAATTTCTAGTGTTTTTTAGGGTTCCGTACCAAAAGGGTAAAAACGGGAACCCTATTACAACTTTGCTATTACTGAGACTTCGCTGTCCGTCCGT